TCACTAATCTTGGTCTTCCTCTTTCTATCTCACTATATTTATTGACATAGAAACCAGTACATGACCATGGAGAACTTGACTTTTTAATCAATCCTTTTTCTAATAGTATATTCATCTCACTTTTACATAATTTTAAATATTCAGAATTCATTTGACAAGGTCTTGCCTTTGTCTTAATCATTGTTTTTTCATTAAAATCTTCTTCATATGGAAGACTAATCACATGTCTTTTCCTATCCCAAAAAGTATTAGGATGTTCATTACAAATCTCAGTAGAGATATTATTATATATTCTCTTAATCTTTTCTTGTAATTTATGATTTTTTAAATCCTCTTCAATCGAAAATATATTAATTTCGAATTTTAAGAAATTAATCTGATTATTTTTTCTAAAAATAAGATCTTTAAGCTCATTAATGAATCTCGGATTAGGTTCAGTTATAAACTTAAAAGATACAAGTTTTTTATCATATTTTCTTGTGATACGATCAATATCAATATGTGTAATAGGGAAAATCCTCTTTACAAAAGGAGTTCCAAGTGTAACTTTTTATATTTTTAGCTATTAAAAGACTTCTAGGAATACAAACTTGATTATTACAAATATATCCTTTAGACAATTTATAATTTATGTCTAATGCCTTCCCACCAGCATGTCTTACGGCATGAGTAGTTTTTTCAAAATATCTAGTAAGAATTATTCCTTCTTGTATGACACTAACATCAGCACCACTATCAATTAATGCTACTAGTTCTATTTGATAATCATGATCTACCAATAATTTAATAATAACATAAAATTTAAAAGAAGTGACTAAATCTAAAGATCCTAAAAAATTCTTATTTCCTATTTCACTTATTAATATATTCTTATAAGAATCTACCTGTTTCTTGTTTTCTAAATTAGAAACTCTATCATCTAAACTCTTATTTAGGTTTTTCAGAATTCTTATTTCTTTGAGATTATTAATCTCTTCTCCTAAATTACTTACCGTAGTAGGAGATTTTTCTATCCTACTAGATTTTTCTTTGAGCATTTTATATACTTTATCCATTGTATATGGATTATTATCTATTTCTAATGATTCATCTTTAATACTACTTCGAATATCACCAATTTGTTCAATTATCCTTGATCTTAACTCTTGATTTTTTACTGATCTCAAGAATTTCAAAATATTATTACTAATTAAAACACTAATATCTGATTCTCTAAATTGAGATATGATTTTATAAAATTCTTCATCTTCATCATCAATTTCTTCTACACAACTATTAGTTCCCTTACAAGGATCACAACACTCAATTTCATCTTCTGAACTTTCTGATGTATGACTTAACCTATCTATTTCAGCCTCATCTGAGCTTTCTGATGCAGATTTTGAATTTAACAAATTAATTAATTCATTTTTAATTTTCTGGCTAATATCTAAATTATTTATTCTTTTCTTTATTTTGCATCTATTTGCAAAATGTCCTGGCTGTTTACATTTATAACAAATCATATTTGCTCTATCTTTCTTATTTCTCAAGTCTTTTCATTTTCCTCATTGCTCTTTTATTTAATTTTTCTTGAGATTTTTTCTCTTCTTTTTCTTATAATATTTATCATCTTTTTTTAAATTTTTTATCATTCTTTTTTCTTATGGAATTTCCATCCCAAATTGACTACAAAATTGACCTAATTGTTTTCTTTCAGTCAATCTCTGTCTTTTAATCTGTTGATTCAATTTTATCTCATTACATAAGGCTAAACCTTCTTGAATACAAGTTCCGATTAACTTCCCATAAGTATAATCTTCATAAGGAATATTTATCCTATCTTTTCTTAAGACTCTCCTAACTCTTTCAGCAAATAAACTAGGTAATCCATCTATAAATTTAGATTTCCAATGAACACTATTACTGTCATGTAATTTTATAACTCTATTAAGAAAAGTATCTCTATACCATCTAAAATCAGATAATGTTTTACATCTTAAATTCTGTAATAAAGTACGAATATTTTCACTATTATCAGAAATTCTTCATGTAAAATGTTATAATATAGTAACAATCAGTATATAAACTGCGTTTTCTACAACCTGAGATCCTTCTTGTTTAACTGTTCTATAAATGTCTTCTTTATTTTGTAAAGACAAATTATGGTCCCACCAACCTTTTAGTTGGCCAGTAAATCCTGCAACTATCATTTTTGCAATTCCTACATCATTATTACCATTTGTTTAACTAATAGTACTATACATTAACATTCTATGAGCCATATTATAAATTTTCTTTTCAATATAACCATCTATATTCCATTCATAAATACATTTTCCACTGTAACTATTATTCAGTATGTATTCCTGCTCTTCATGTAAGATATCCGCAGGAGAAGGTCTATTATAATAATATAATCTTTGAGTAGGCTTATCAGCATATTTATTTAATGTATTAATCTCATCATCCACTATAGTTTTAAAATCCTTATTCCCTTCTAATCTTCCGGAGAATTCTTCTTCTAAAGTATTGATTTTTAAATCTTTAAATTTAACATCTAATAATTTCTCTAATTCTGATAAGGATTTTAATTTAAAGTCTTTTATTTCAGGTGGTGGTTGAAGAGTTGGTGCTGCAACAACATCTACTCTATTATTGCAAGCATCACTAGCATGACTATTGTCTCTATTATTCTCTACCAAATGTACCAATTTGTCTAACCTACTTTGTATAGATAGGATTAATTCCCCTAAAATGTTTAAATAAACATTTATATAGTTATTTTGTTCTATTATCTTATTTATCTATTGTACTGTTATAACCAAAGTTTCATCCTCAAATAACTTTGTATATGTAGAAATACACATAACAGCATGATTTTCCTTTTCTATTTTAATAGGTTGTTATGGAAGAAATAGTGCTTTTATCGTATTTTCATTCGAGAGTTTATAATCTCTTTCTAATACACATATGTGTGGTTCAACATAAACAGATACAAAATATGGAACAAAAGGAAATATAACATTATGATATGATAAAAACTTATAAAATTCATCCGAAATAAATTTTTACATTTCTAAAGAGAAATTGGGGAAAACCACTTTCTAAATGGTTCCCATCTTGGAAGATTAAACTCTTCTTTGACTTGATGTCTAGCCAAAGAACCTGGGCTAAGATCTATCTTATTCATATTGAAAGTGTCATTTCTGACTCAGTTATATCTTCATCTTTTGTGTTATAAATACCTTTAACTATATTTTCTTTATTTTTACCAATTTATCAATATGATGATTATTCTCATCACGTTCACTAACCTGTGAAATAGAAACATGATAAGGATGTTCACTATATGAGGTAGAAGCACGACTAGGAATAAAATTTTTATTGTTTTTATACCTCCTGCCAGTTATGTGATATTGTATGATCTGCTTGTCCCGCGTGTGTACTTTATCGCACCGGGTAATTGACTAGCTTGGATATTCTTCTCGAACTCTAGCTAGCTTAATTTCTTGCTTGTCCTGTTTGACGGAAATTATACGTGATGATCGTTCGTTCTTTGTTCCTTGTTCGATAGTTCTGCTTGAGGTCGTGTATACTTTACCACACGTATCCCTGTATGTGAATTCAGTGACTGTTAGTCGTGCCACTCTTTCCTGTGCATGCTATTATACTGGTTAGTTATGGATCCATGCCCCTGCTAGTTGAGTCGACTTCGATCGTTTCGGCAAAGGGCCAGGACGTATCGAATAGACCACTAGAAGGTCCTTTTTGGTTGAATGTCGAGATAATACTGCCTATCGTTATCGTTACTGTTGGGTGTGGTTGACATGAAGTGCATAGATCTATGCCAACATTTTGAAATTCTGTTTTCTTTCTATTTTGAGTTCGACTGGAATCCAATCCTCTGGCTATATAGGTCTGGATCAAGATCTTGTCCATACTCAGTCGTATTCACCCTCCTGAAATATGTGTTATGTGTTTTACATGTCCATGGCTAGTGGTAGCCAGTTCAATTATCTAAACTTGATTTCTATTATTAGTTTGTACCTAGATTAGGTTTAAACCTTACACTGTGGGGTTTTAATATCCGTGCCAACTTGTTTGACTATGTGATCACTTAGATTAATTACTGGTAGACTGTAAGACCTTATTGAGCATACGCTCACCAAACGTATACTTTTTTTTTAAATCCAGGACCAAGATGAGGGTAGAATAACTTCTTACGACGTTTCAAGAAGTATAGCACAATCAAAGTTTAGACCTTTGTACTATAGACTTGTGAGATTTTGAATGTAAAACATTTTTCTTCAAGATTTTGTAAAGAAGACATGATAATGTTTTAAGCCAACGCTCTTGATTATTGCTAAATTGTGTGACTGAGACCTAGCGAGAGCTAGGCAGGCGCTCAACTATGACTCTTTCTCTATGTTATAAGGGGGTCTAGTTGGGTCGTTACACTTGAGGATTTGGTGATACCCTTTGTAAGCATCAAGCAAGCATAAGACCGAATATTCGGCTACAGCGTCGACCTTCAGTTTGATGGGGGGCAGGGGGCAGCAATCCTTTGGGCAATGCTTGTTGAGATCGGTAAAATCTACACATATCCTCCACGACAAGTCGGGCTTCTTCACCATAACTGGATTGGCCAACCAAGTCGGGTAGAGGATTTCTCTAACCACGGACGCGGCCAGCAGCTTGGCGACTTCCACATCAACTGTAGCGCTTCTCTCTGGTGCCATCTTCCTTTACCTCTGTTGAATGGGGCGGGCGCTAGGATCCATATTGAGACGATGAATACCTAGTTCCACGGGAATCCCGGTCATGTCCGAAGGCTCCCATACAAAGACGTCCTGGTATTCCTGAAGTAGTTGAATCACCATCTCTCGGAGGCTGAGGGGTAGGACACGTCCAAGTTGGATAATTCGACCCTCCAAATATGGATTGATCAGGACGACATCGTACTCCCTGTCGGGCTCCACGTTCTCTCCTTCAGGTTCCTTCGTCTGCTCCTTGGTGCACTAGGGAGTCAATTCATGGATCATATTGACCTCCGACGCCTTCAACAGCAACTTTTTTCCTCTCTTCATTGCGACGACCATACACTGTTTGGCAATCTGGGAATTTCCACGAACCTCTCCTATTCTGGCGGGTGTTGGGAATTTCATGACTAGATGGTAAGGGGAATAGATAGCTTTGGTCTTGCACATCCAGGGTCGACCCAATATGAGGTTGAAAGGGGCGATCACCTCCACCACAGCAAAGTCGCACATCACCGTCTTTAGCCGGGGCTGGGTTCCTATAGCCACAGCAAGGGTAACCACACGTAAGGGCAGAATCACATGATTGGAGAAACCTACCAAGGGTGTTGGAGCCAGTCGAAGCATAGCCCGATCAAGACCGAGCTTCTGGAAGCAATCGCAATACATGATGTCCACTGAGCTCCCCTTATCCACGTACACACATCGCACCACATGATTGGCAATGTTGGCCTCGATCACAAGCGCATCCGCCCCTTCAGCTGTATTGAGGACGACATCTTGGTCAGAGAAAGTGATTTCTTCTGAAACCTTAAGCCTTTTGCCTACATCCTCTCCAGGGGGTCGAGGTCGAGCATCGCGTTTTAGCCTCGACATACTTTGAACAACAAGGCATGCTCCGAATATAGCCCCCACAGGTGCAGCTAAGATTTTTTGTGCATGCACCTCGTCTTCTGCCTTATCTGTTGCCTCGACCTCCGCTTTTGCAGGCTGGTTCTTGGCATCATTCTTTTTCCATTTTTGGTTCCTCCTCCCTTTGAAGTCCGCATTCCCGCCCCCGCTCTTCTTGACATATTGCTGGAATTTTCTGGCCTTGAGTCCATCCTTGATCTGCTGCTGGAGATCTCGACAATCCTCAGTATCATGCCCCTTGCCTTGATGATAATGGCACCATTCCTCGGAGGACCCTATATTCTTCGTCCTCGAGGGGGTCCTAAACTCACCCTTGTGGATTTCCAAGATTTCTTTTCGGGTCTTGATGAGTGGTGTCAGCTTGGCTTCATACTTTGGGGCATTGGTGGTCGACCTCCGCTCTTCAGGCTTCTTCTCCTTCCTATCTTCTTGGAAGGCTTCTCGAGCTCTCTGGAGCGACTCCTCCTTGCGGACCTCCTTCTCGACTATATCCCACAGTCTTTCGGTGCTTTCAGGTTGCTTGTCCATATGCTTCCCTCAAAGCGCAACCCCCGACCCGAAGGGAGAAAGACCATTGAGAAACTCAATTCGAACAACAAGGTCATCTATCTGGTCGATCGTTATCAACTCTTTGTTAAACCGGTTACAGTATTAGGCCAAAGTGTCATTCTTCCATTGGCGTATGGATGCCAGCTCGTGGAGGTCTTGGAGGTCTTCTTACTTGCAAAGAATCGAACGTGGAGCATCCGTCCCAACTCATGAAAGGAACAGACGCTACTCGGAGGTAGACTATCGAACCACGTCTTAGCTCTGTCGGTGAGGAAAGTTGGTAGAGCCTTGGCCATGAGTTCCCTCGACGCTCCTCGAAGGTCCATGGCAGCTGTATAGTTGGCCAAGAAACTACCTGGACAACTTGATATCTTCGGGCAACCTGAAGTTGTCTGGCTTGGTGCATATCCGAATGTGCTCTGCAAAAGGGCTCTGACTAATCTCCTGCTGTCTGAGAATAGCCTCCAATCTTGGGTCAAGCCCCAGAATCACAGGGGTTCGAGTCTCATCCACCCTGGGGGTGACGAGCCGTGGAGTTTCTCGGACACTGGGGCGTGGCAGCAGGTTTTTCCCTTCCTTCTTCGGACTGACGATGTGTCCTCGCTTCTCTCCCACAAACTGAACACTGGCGCTCTGACCTTGATCCTTTCTCCCATAGTAGTCTTCCTCGAAACGACGAATCTTCTTTCTGACATCTGGATATTTTTTGGACAGGGCTTTCTAGAAATCTGGATCGTGACTATGGTCAGAAGGTCAAGGCGACTTAGCAGCCCCGGACAGTTGACGGTAATGCCGACGCTCGCGGCCTTCTCCCATATCATGATGAGAGTGACCGCGTCTCCGATCTGAGTGTCTCCACGCGTTGGCTTCCCTGTTTCCGGTCTGAGATGTACGATCATTCCCCCGCTCCTCACGGGTCCTCCTTGGTGAACACCGGGTCGACTCTCTCACCACTTCAGACCTAATAGTAGGGCGTCGGCTAGTGCCTTCATTAGGTCTCGCCCTAGCAGAGACCATGACTCTAGTAGAGTTCTTGGGCTCGCCCTCGACCAAGTATATGTCTCCCCACAGTCGGTGCCACTTGACGAAGGCAAATCCCGATAGCGGCGAGTTAGCAGTCAACTAGGACGAGGACCTGCAAGACAAGGGTTACCACTTTGATGCCAAAGTCAGTCTTAGTGAGAGGAATAAAATAAATACACACTTAGAGAAAGAATGAGAAGTGTCAATTAACCCCTTGAAATGAATATCTTGGGGTATATATAGTTCACTATTTAAAAAATGTAAAAAAGAGGGACCCATGTGCGACCCATATGAGACCCATGTGTATTTGGACCGTTGGGCCTGTTTTCGTAAAAGCTCAGTGGGATCTCTAAATGGCTTGTGTTAAGGAATTGCTTTATCAGTGTTATATTTAGATGCACCAGGATGATCGGAAACATTAAGAGTTTAGTTTACAATCAATCACATACACTAAAACCCCCTACCAGCCATATCTTAATATATTAGAAACAAAAACCACACTTTAGAGAAAGCACCACCATTTGCCATGTGGCATTTCCACATCATATTTTTAAAATAAATTTTTATTTACACATCTCCTAGACTTAAAAGGCAAATGCAGTCCAAATCCACCTTCACCTCCAATTTTCGTCAAAAAAAAAAAACCACGTGTTCATAAAAAACTCAAATCCTCATCCCCATTTCCACGACAATCGACTCCCTAATCAATCTCTTCTCCACAATAAAAAAAAAAAAAAAATTCTCATCAATCATCAATTGAGAATATGTGGTGAAATATACTCCTTTCCTATTAGCATGTTAAATTTTTTCATTAGTGATGATCAACTACTCCTAATCTGATAAAATTTCGAGTTCAAAAAATATTCTCTTTACCTTACTATATAAAACGAAGGAAAAAAAATTTCTCATTGATCTTGCATCGGCCATTATGGTGGTGCCATTACAGGTATTAAAATTTAAATGATTTTATTTCCGCAGATCATTTGTTTGGCTTTTATTATTTTTTGTTTTTCTCGTTCAAGAATAGTGTTATTACTATTATTTTTATGCGTCCATCCGTTACAGCTACCATAGCCGTTGTCAGGTAATATGATGTGATTTCTTATATGGTTAGTTAGCCTAGAATTTTCATATGATTTTAGTTCTGTTTGGATTGAATTGATTAATTGGGTTTTTGTTACAAAGTGTGGTTTTTTAAATTTTTTTTTTTATGTTTCATTCAATTAGACTGGTTTTTTTTTTTAATTATGGAGTCTCAGGTTTTTTTTCGTATATGGTCAATTATGAAGTATGTTTTTTTCCTTGTTTAATTGCTTTTGATTTTGTTTCATACTCCCAGTTGACCAATTATTATTATTATTATTTTATTTTATTTACAAATAAAACGCTTTTTTTGGTGTTCGGTCTTTCAAGAATATACTTTTTTGGATTTGGTTTTTGGACTTTTTTTAATTTCTCATCATATAAATAGTTCAGGTCGCTTCTTCTAACTAATTTATGAGGAAGCTTTTTATTAATTTGAGATGGAGAGGGAATGAATGATTTTTCTGCGTTTATTTGTGTTTTTATACATCATTTTTACCTACAGAAAAAAATAAATTTCTCAATTTTTAATGGACTATCTTTTACTTTTTTTTTTTTTTTAATTTGTCATGGTGAGGTGAGTTCTTTTTAGCTATAACTTGAAACCTATGTAAATTTACATTATTTTCATTCTCATATTTGTGATCAACCAGTTTCAACAATTAATCAGTTTCAAAATCATATTTTTGATATTTTACTACCTATAAACTTTTTGAAGAAATAATTTCAACAATTAAGCGTATACCCTTTGGAGGAAGCTTACTATAAAGCTATTATAAATCTCCAAAACTAATTATTGATTTGGCACAACCAATGGAGAACATCAATAAATTATCTTACTAATATTTAAACTTATGAGGATGCTTTTATATTTTGTCTTGCATTTACTTCAAGACATATATTTGATCAAGTTTATTTATCTTTAAGAAGTAACACTTATAAAACATTTTTAAAATCTTCAAACATTTCTAAAACGTACCGGACCAAATACAATTTCTTTTTATGCCAAATATAAACATTTCTATGATCACACTTATAAAACATTTCTAAATTCTTCAAACATTTCTAAAATATATCAGCCCAAATACAAAATAATTTTTTTCAGACACAAACATTTCTAAAATCTACAGATATATTGGGTCAAGGTAGCGCATTGCGTGACCAGACATCACTAGTATCTCCAGAAACCATTATAATGCTTCATTCAGATATTATAACAAGAACTTCAGGGTGTACTTTGCCCTTTTCTTCTTTTTCGGGCTACTTCCTTGAGTCTTACACTCTTACTGTTACACCCCCGCGTCCTTTTCCCTTTGGTGACTGACTCAAATAAGTAATCAAATTTCGCCCTCTGGCATATGTCATTCCTTCTTGGATTGCATGGCGAGTCTAGCATCTCTCGCGCTGAAATTCTCAATAATCAACACATTGTAGGAGGGAGACCTTATCCAAATACTGATTCTAACTCTTTTTGCAAGTTTCAAGTTCTTGTAATGGTCCTTGTACTCTCCCCAGTCCTTTGTCTTGTCAAGTACGCTCAACTTTGGCTTCTTTCTCTTATGTTCAAGAACAGCATCAACAGCTGATGCAGGGCCAACAGAGAGCTTTACCTCTATCAAAGTTTGCATCAATAAGCCTTTTCATCTCAACTTTCTCACCAGCAAAGTCTCGAACTTCTGTGACCTGCAGGGATGCAAACAGCAAATTTATATGAAGTATGAAAGTGAAAATTCAAGCATCAAACAACAAAGGAACGAGAGCAACAATCAGTCCTGCAGCTGATAGTGCAACAGACCACAATATCAACCAAAGGCCAAGGAAAATCAGCAAATTCCAACACCACATGGTGCTTTTCATATTATGGATATAATCACTGCATGAGTTGAATTTGTTGCCATCAATAATACCAAAATAACAAATAAATATTGAGGGAGTTTAATTATAAAATATACAGAAAATACAGGGAAAACAATCATCGACAACCTGAAGACCAAAAATCAAAAAATAACCTCACCTCAACATTTCCATGGCCAGCTGCAGCGGTACAACATCTTTAATAGCTTCAAGAGCGGCAGAGTGTTTTTGCTCATCGCTGGTTTCATTTCCTAGCTTGTTTCCGGTTACAGAGGCAGAGCTCGTCTCCTGTTATACCTTCCTAACCAACAACAACATATTTATCCGAAGTACGAAAGAGAAAAATCAGGCATCAAACAACAAAGGAAAGAGAGCAACAACCAGTCCTGCAGCTGATAGTGCAACAGGCCATAATATCAGCCAAATGCCAAGGAAAATAAGTAAATCAGAATCAAATTGTGCTTTTCATATCAAGGATATCATCACTGCATGAGCCGAATTGGTTGCCATCAACAATGCCAAAAAACAGGTAAATTTGTAGGGAGTTTACTTGTAAAATAAATAGAAAATAAAGGGGAAATAATCAATGGATGAGCTGAAGACCATTAATCAACAAACAACCTCACCTCAACTTTTCCATGAAACAGCAACACTACAGCTACTCATGAATTTCTTGCCCTTCTCGTCCAAATCAAATCCAGTGCTTTGGACTCCTTTGGATCCCTTGACAAAACCACAATGGATAGTGTGGTTTCCAACATGAAAGGCCGCCTCTTTCTCTTTGAGGTTTTGATGACCTCCAAATTTTAGATCATAGGAATCATGATATGAATGACTCTCCTCTCTTTCAACATATTGCAGGGAGGAATCAGTAATATTCAGTGAGTCCTTGGGCTCAATAAAATAGTTAATGGAATCTGAAAACGAGATGTCAGATGCAGCAAACCCTGAAACTAAAAGCAAGCAACTACTAAAATGCATGCATGGAACAAACAAGCAGAGAATTTCAAAACAATATCATGAAACTACAAAATTCCTTGACCATTAGCCTTAATAAAATACAACGTATTATTGTCATCCACAAGCCCAAGTACATCATGAACTTTTGACCATGTCCCACATGTGCATGTACTTGTGCTTCCACCTAAGGGATATGGATTGGAGTCCACATATGTCATCTCATGATGGTAAGGGTTGTTCAAATCAACTTTCGACCGAGCTACCAGTTTGCCTCCCCTTTACCATTCTCATACATACACGGGTGTATTTTATCATGTTTAATATTCAAGTTACAGGAAGCAGCAGCCTGGTGAAGGATGAGTATTTCAAAAAACAGAAAAGAAGCATACTGTTGGACATTGGCAGCAAGAAAATAAGACAAACAAACATCCAACAGTTAAGGTTAATAGCTGCAGTGCTTCTTGTTATCCAAGATCCGACTATCCTAGTCGAAGAACCTTTCATTCACAGTGTACATGTATGTTGATTGTCCGCAAATACACAATATTCCAAGATCCACAACATAAAATTCACAACTCTCTACATTCTTAGAGATCCAAACAACACCAAACATGACATTCTGACATACCAGTAAATGGTCAAACCACATGATCTGCATTTTTAGAGACCCCCTCCATCTCTCCTTCGTATGAGAGATGCATGCCTTCATGGTAGAGGAAGTAAATAGAAAGCAATCAAGAAACAAGCAAAACAGTCCCAGAAGAAACTGAAACAAGGCATAACTTGAAACAAAAAGCCAAATGGATGAAGAAGATACAGAACCGAAGCATGGTAAAGTGGTGACCTTTGACTCGCACGCAACAAGAACCAGATCTCTCCTTACTGTTTCCACAAAGGGAGAACATATATATTTCACGAATAAAAGAAAAGTTCTTCTGAAAAATCCATTACGTTGTTGACGTGGTCTTCTCGTTGGTGGCTTCGTGACTTGATCATCAAACAATGTAACATATATTAACTTTTCCAAAGACATCTTGCGGCGGAGAAATTTCCTTCGTTGACGATCGGAGCTGACTGTATTAAAAAAGCAACAAATATTGTTACGCTTAAATGTAATTCATAAAATATGAACCACTTAAGTATTGTGTTGTGGACTTGACATTAAAAGTCCATGTTAAACTAACTGACTCTGAAAGTCACCGAATTTAGCAAGCGACAAAAAGTTACATACACTTTATTAAACTAAATGCTTTGGCTATTTGCATGATAGCGAGTTTATGTGCAAAAGAACATGTAAAAACAACCTCCTCACTCTTACTATGCAACATAGTGAAGCCAAAAACTGCGAGAAAAAAGCAGAAGAGCAGAGCACGAAAAATGCCCAAACCAAAAATCTTTGTCCTGAGAAGAGCAACCAAAGCTACACCCTTTACGGAAACTTCGCAAACTAAAGCAACCTTGACTTTGTGATTTACCAAAAAACTCATCGTCTCCTACTCCACTTCCCTAAAACACTAACACCTAAAACAGCTACATCGTTTCGATTAAAAAATTCAAAGCAAATTAATAAGGAATTAGAATGGCAAAATCGTATCATGAGCAACATGAAAGTCTTGCAATCAATCCTAAGAACTGCCTTGACATTATGATCAAATAAACTAGAAATAATAAACAATCCCGACAACCAGAACCAGCCAAAACCAATCAATCACCCACCAAATAAATTACTATTTCTTCGGTCCAACACTAAATCAAGAACCAACAATCACCAAGAAAAAAATAATAATAATAATAATAATAAAAATCAACAACCAGCAACAGCCATGGCCAAATAAAAATTAGAAAACTTGAAGGAGCGGATAACTACTATTTACATCAATTTTAAATAAAACCAGTGTAGTAGGAGGAGCTTATCTACCTCAATGAATCGATAAACGCGAGACTCCAGCGAACGGTGGAAGCAAGTGAGCCGCTATGCTACCCCTTCCCCATCGTCGTTCAGTTGAAATTGGTTTCAAGGCACGCACTTTGGAACATGGTGATTTTCCCATATTTGTGGTGAGCACTTTGCGAGGAGCGTACAGGCGGCGATGGCACAGTAGCTAGCGGCGGAAGGAGAGAGAGAGCGGCGGGGGAAGGTCACTGTAAACCGGCGAGATACTAATGCTGGAGAAGTTCACCGCATATTCTATACGCTCATATATAATGTTGGTGAGCTTCATGAACACGACGTCGTTTTGTCGATGGTGGGTTTGTCAAAAAAAAAGAATGGGAAAAAAGATTTTAAAAACGGCCATTTACGAAATTACTTTCTCGTCCCTAATTAAAAAAGTGATGTAAGGAATAAAACCTTTCGGCCAATCATATTTGAGGAATAAACTGTCCAACCAATCATATTTTAAAAAAATTTTGTGCTCATCAAAACTTTTACCTTTATGCTATAGATTAATACAAATTGCAAAACTCAATGTGAACTAGGTAGGAAATATTAAAAATGAGTCTTGTAGATAGATGTAGCACATTCAATTAAGTAGTCAAAGTCGAGAATGCATATAAAATTAAATGCTTAGGTTGTGTTTAGTACACTCAAAGGAAATGGTTGAACACTAATCTCATTCCTAATCAAGAAAAGTCAATTCATTAAAGAAATTTTGGATTCTCTTTACTTTTACAATATTTAAAAATATTAAAAATCATAATCATTTTCTTATTACAATGTTTTTTTTTCTCAATATAAAATGGAAATCAGAAAAGAAAATAAATTTTTCAGTCAACTTAAAATTTTCATAAGAACCAAAATTTCCTTTAAAAAAAAAATCTACATGAGCAACATTTATTTCATGAATCTCTTTATAAGAAAAAACACAATTACGCATATCAAAGTTTTTAATAAATGTATCCATGAATTTTGGTTTCTTCAAGTTAAATAAACAAAAACCGATTCAATGTTAGGTGATAAATTATGCCATCAAAAAATCTCAAAATATTTTATTAACGCAGGACAAGAAATTATTCGGAAGGTAGAGAATATAACATCAAAATATAGCTGACGATAGGTGAGAAGAAGTCTTTATTTTTTTCGTAAAAAGAAAATAATTTTTGGATTTGAATGACTACCTCTATAGAATAATTTATATCACACTTTTGTCTAAGAATTCTTTTGTTAATCTACAAAGGGAAAATAATTTTTGTTTTTTTCTTTTTTAAGAAGAAGTTGAAATACGAATTTTAGAATGCCCATGTATAAAGGAGATTATTTTTTAAAAAATATGGAGGTAAACGAAAAAAAAAAAAGAGGGAAAATGGGGCGGGATTTTTTTTGGATAGTGCAAAAAGTTTTTGAAGTTTTTATTTAATTACGGATAAGATATTGTTAAATGTACAACATTACTTCAATCCCATTATTACATAATGTTTTTTTTTTTTTGAAATTGGATTATTATATAATGTTAGGCATACTATTCCTTTTGTTCTCTTTATTGAATATCATAACGGTAAAATTACAATATGTTATTTTATATTTTTTTTACTGTCTATCGTAATGGTAATAAGATTACAATATATCCATTTCCTCCTTTCCAGTGTACTGAATGCGCTATGAAAAGTAATGAGTTATGGTATATTTTTACGTTATACTACTACCTTACTTTATATTTTTCATTGTCAACTCATAAATTAAAGTATGGAAAAAGAAGAACTAAATTTTATTGATGTAGATATTTCTTTTTTCTGAAAAAAGAAAAAAGATTCTCTTTGCCAGTGGGCCAAAAGAATTCCCTATATTAAGTTCCAATGGTCAATCGTACAATCATTTTTCCAAACAAACTTGATTGTTCTTGCGGATGAAACTTGGAAGAGATTTCAGTCTGCTTCCGAAAAGCAACTTCGATGGATCCTTCCCTAAGGACAAACATAAATAAATAAACAACTGCTCTTTTTCACCCTGGCAAATGTACATCCTTGAACTACAATTTACAAGTTGATACAGTGATGAACCCTAGTTAAAATAATGGCCAACCTTCACTACCCTAATCTAAACTTGAAATATGATAAATTGGAACACTTCAGGAATAAGCAGTCAGGATTGAGCAGTCAAATCTTCCAATATGAACTTCCCCCAAAAATGTCATATATTTACCATACTAATGGAGTTCTGTAGTTTCTTGGCTAAACTATAATTTACTTGTCGATTTCCTCCTGAACTTGACCAACTGCAATAACAGTGGAATCGAATCAAAACTTGGCAAAAATCAACAACTATGCGAGATGCATTCACAATGAGGGGGCACAATGAGGGGGGGAACTACTTACCGGCAAGATTCACGGCCAAATTTGCCTGTTGATCAGCCTCGGAGTTTAAGTCCTTCAAGAAGCATAGAGCATACTTCCATCAGAGCAAGATAATATGAAATACCATTCAGGGAATGAGGTCTTAACCTAGTAATAAGACTCTAACTGAAGGGTCGAGGGATCGAATCCCGTTCGGAGAATGTGGGTTCCACTAGGATGGTTTAAAAAAAAAGAAAAATAGCATTCTTCATAGAAGCAGAAAGATACAGGGATAAAAACCCCTAATCAGACATGTAACTTCTAATACTCTCAACTTCAGCAACAGACAAAAAAACCAATCTTTTGGGCAAAATTAAGGTAAGTTTGACAGGGTAGGATGCTCAACAGAAAGAAAAGGAATCCTTGTAAATTTAGTGGACTTACCCTCAGCACATGAATGATCTGAAATGACGAAAATTGGTCCTTCAACTTATTTGCTTCCTCATACAACAGGGAAATATTCTGGTTTTTCACCTTCCACAAACCCTGAATCTGTTTGACAAAGTTGAAATGTAAACCTTGTGCTGCAGAAAATGCAAAATGCATAAATGTACATGCATGTTTTCTGAAATCAATATGCCACAAGTAAAATAAAACTGATCATCTTAATGCTCTCGAGAAGAAAATAAACCAAAAGACATGCCAAAATATAGTACATTGTAATGAATGCCAAAATGTGTGCTGGCAATCTTAATAAAACAAAATTGAGAGTCCATTCTATGGAATCCTACACAATGATAGGGCATACATGCAGAACATGGGGGGTGGGGTGGAGGGATTGCTAGTCAAATTAAAAAGATTTTGTAAATAAGAGGAAAGAAAGAGAGCAATATTGGTTATTTTCCTTTCAACAATGGTTCAAATAATGGTTTAAATCAGGTCAAAAAGATAAGAATCACATGTCCAAAAAGATGCCTATGCATTAACAAACCTGCATGCAGACAAGCTTTGAATCACCTTGAACACGAATGTTAGTGAACCCTTTCTCAAGTGCATATCTTAACCCTAAAATTATAGCTCGATATTCAGCAGCATTACAGGTAGCTGTTCCTAAACCTTCCCGTAACTTCATGGCCTGTAACATGCAAAGGTTATATGACATGAGAATTCAACAAAAAGAGACAAAAACCAAAGTTGGCAACGTGTTTACCAAGCTTCCATCATCAGCTCGTAACACAACTCCGGCACCTGCTTGGCCAGGATTCCCTTTTGAAGCACCGTCGAATTCCACAGTGCAAGAACGCTGATAGCAAGTAGATGTAAAGCAACAACCACAAAGTTGGAAATAACTGCCAGTAAAATCTGGCGGTAAACCCTAATACCTAATAAGTTCATGAAGTTCACCCTATATCTTGAAACAACATAATTTAGAAAATACAATCTAATTAAATAATTGTCAAAAAAATTTTGTCAATCATAAACATAATAAAAATTCAGCACTTAATCAATAGCTCTACTTACCCCAGAAGCATACCCCAATGCTTCATGTGACCTCTTCCTTGACACAATTTCAGTAGAAGTTTCACCCACAGAAGAAGGGAGCTGCAAGAAAATAAGATCTTAGCCAGAAATTGATCAAACTTTGGAGCTAACTAGTTAAGCTAGATAAGTATCATTAATTTACAAGGCAACCCACACAATCAGCTATTCCTTCCAATCATGCCTCAAATTTTACCTTGGAAAACCAATTAAGCCCAATGCTAACTCATGGACCATCAGGCCAAGAAGCCTTAAAATTTAACAATAACTGCAGTTGCAAGAAATTCATCAAACTTTACCTTGTGAATTTCTGTCAACTAAAAGAGCAAAGAGAGAAATCGAAACAAAAAAGAAAAAGCTTTGAACGCCAGTCCCTTGACACCTTACTAGAATCTTGATGAAGGCAAATTGGATTGAACCAAAAGAAAGCAATACATCCCACTATATTAAACACCAAACTAGAGGGTATTTTGAACCCTTTTCCCATTGGTATCTACACGTTTATAAGCTTATACATATTCATTGTGGCAGTACTTGATCTCACATGGAATGTATAACTTACGGTAGATAAACTAGTGAACAATTTTGAAATTACGTTAGTTGTTCCTTTCACTTTTAAAGACTACATCTGCCAAATCCTAAAATCGAGAGGACCTCGAGAAAGAAATGACCATCATTGCAGCTTAACAGCATACTTAAACCCCTATGATGTAGTAACCTAAATAACTCTCATGGCTGATCATTGGGATGTTGTATTAAACCATTCATATAAATAATTTCCTTTCTTGGAACAGGTAACTAAAACACAATAAAGATTTTTCAAAGTTTCAGAAATTTCGAATTTTCTCATCTCAGCAACCGATCAGTTATTAGTAAGTTGAGCAACATCAAAGTGAATCAAACAATGTATGATATCTCATCTCACCTGATATGGGCAAGGCATAAGAGTGCCAAAAATACCTTCCATCAGATCTTCAGCCTTCACAGTATAAAGAGCATTCTTAAGGCCACAGGACTGAAGATGTTTCTCTGCATCCTTGCGCATAGCATGACCTTTAAATACACTGACGGGAGGGTCACATATCTTCAAGGAAATGAAAGAGGACATCTTTTAATAGCTCACCCCATGCATTTAAAATTATAATGAGGGGAAAGCGCATTAAGGTTTTTAGGATTGTCAACCAACAAAATGCCGGAAAAAAAAGGTCCAATCCATATATCTAACATCCTTGGCACAAACAAAAAGCCTAATCTAAGGCAGGAGATGGCCTTTTTCAAGAGGATGCACTTAAAACAAAACCCAGTAAACTTCAAAATAAAGCAAGTTAGAAGCTTGGAATAAAACATTCTATGGAAACATCAAAGATTAGGCAAAAAAACAGATAAGGAAAAGAAATATTTAAAAACAGCATGCTAAAAAATTGCACAGCAAATAATTTGACTACTAAAAGTTACTCAAATTGATTTCTCATATGATCCATCATATAAAATACTCCCTCCGGTCCTTAATATAAGGTATTTTGATTTGTCCTAAGTTTCACCTAGTACATATTTTTAATTGATGAAAAAACCTTAAAAATATTTTCTAACAATGAAGAGAATACAACGAATGTAAAAATATATTTTTAAGGTTTTTTCATCAATCGAAAATGCATACTAGGTGAAACCTAGGACAAAATTAAAATGCCTTTTATTAAGGACCGGAGGGAGTACAAGAAAAGGTTAAACCATCATTAGTAAACGATTTAAGAAGAAAAACCATAAATACCAAGAAAAGGGGGACATATCAATCATCAGAAAGAGAGAACGGGGGTAAACAAAGTGGTTACCGAGTTCCCAACTTGAGCCTGACAATCACTCAAACTCTTGTATACACCAACAATATCCCCTTTCCTAACTACAAAGAATGCTTCTTTATCGTCCTTCATCACCGGCGTTGGCTTTGCTTTAGACGGTTTCTTTTTATTAGAATTCTTAGTGGAAGAGCACTGGCAGCAAATTCCTGTGAACCTAAATTTCGAATTGGTAGCACTATTATCTACATATTGAAAATTCGTTTTCCATGAGGGTGCTGCAGAATGTCCACAATATACACCCCTTACAACTATACTGCTAGCCCTCGGTAATAAAGCCGAAAAATATGCACGAAGCAAAGCGTTCATCACACTGCAACTCTATCGGGTTCCTCCGGAAATCTGAAACACAGAAATCCGTTATGAGAGAAGGTATCTTTAAGAGAAAACATTTTGACATCCATTATTCAGAGCATAGAGTGTAAGATTAAATGACCATTTCTCCAGAGAAATGAAGTAATTTAAGAAATAAACTCGTAAAACTAGCATCCGTACAGAATAATGCAAATAATTTAATCAATCTTCTAAAAAATGATCACAACTTCAACAGGAACAACATTAGAAGATGGGCTCTTTACAGCTAATTCTATTAAAAACAATCAGGAACCCATTTGAAAATAGCTAAGAGAATAGTGAAAAAAAAGTACAGCAGAAATTGAAAAGAGAAAAGCCAAAAATAAGGAGGAAAAAGAAAAAAATTAATAAGCGAAGCGGATCATCCTTCCCAGTTCAACCCAGCAAAACCCCATCACAATCTATAATGACAATTAACAACAGTAGCTCTACTATATCCCATCCCTAGACTAACCACCCCACCCGCACCCACCCAACCTGCTGTAAACTGCTGATCCTGAAGAAGAGGTATGATCACTTTGGCTGGGCTCTTCAATCCATTGGAGAATTCATCCTTTTATCTCGTTTGCTAACTAGTCATATTTCCTCCATTTCAAATTACATTTTCATTTGTTTCCAAACTTTCCTTTCTCTATACTTTTTCGCAATTTTCTGAGCTATTCTCAAACGGATTCCTGATTATTTCTAATAGAACTAGATAACTAGCTTCATAAATAGATTAATGACTAAAACATGATAGACATAAAGAATACGAACCTACATAATATAGGTAAATGCAAATTTCAGATTCTGCAGCTCCAATGCTATATATACAAGTGCTGCCCACAGAGATTAATGCCCATTATTGTATTTTTTGTTCCTTATTTTCATGATACTCTTTCTCCTACTTCACACAAAAACATAAGCAAGTGACACACTGATTTAATGAAAACTGAATTCTCAAGTGTTAATACATTGATGATTTTAGAAATCAGATTAATGACAAGCATCATTAGTCCTGTCACATATTTGGACGGAAGGTGATGCATGTTATGAACCTATACGAAAAAGTTCACCAAGAAAAGCCGAAGTAATCCAAGCCCAGTCTTTGTCAAAAGGTGATAACTTTGGTTTAGCAGCTAAGTAACTAGGTTTTCTAACAGCCCGAGAAGCCTATCTTAGCAGCAACTGTAATTGATATTATCAAGAAATTTCTGCAGTGCTTTCATAGCTGGACTGCTTAGGATTTACCATTGCTCTTAGCAGTCATAGTTTACAGGTTTTTAACTTGTGATAAGTTATAGCATATCTTCCTTAAGATTTGCTAAGATTACTAAAGCTGATTCCCTTTCACTTTCCTCCTCCTTTTAACTACAAATAATCCAAACAAGATTTGGGCCTTTTGCTTTCCTTTCATACAAATGTTAACAAAAGAGGTGATCACAGTGGATAGAATAAGTTATATTCCCGGGGAAACAAAATCGTTCTATCATTTTTCATCGAACAATACCAGCAGAGTATGCTGAAAACAAGCTTTTAAGTTCCCTCAAAATGGAAATGAACAATTTTGGTCATTCACATTCTCAAAACATAATTTCTTTGCCCTGTATGAAAGCCTTTAAGATGTTCATTCTATCGCGATGTGAAGGACTGGGATACAGAAATATTGATTTTCCATTAGAGGACTCAAAAATTTTGTACACCCAAAGGAAAGGACTAAAAACTCCTCCACTTCCATTGATCCAATCAAGTGCCCAATGTAAATCAATTTGTGATATCTATAAATATAAACAAAAAGGTAGGTTTTGTAACTTAGTGCAGCACTACACGCCCACCACAATCATCCAAAACAAAACCCTTTACCCTTATCAAGGTAAATTAGACAGAAGATTACATAAATGCATGACAAGCAGAAGCTAGTATTATTAGTTGATCAAAATGCTTTTTTCCACTGACAAATCCTAGCCAATTTGCAATATCCTAAAAAATTGGTCACGCAGTGACGATAAACTATCGACTCTACACTTTAACCTTGAACCAGATTGCACTAAAAACATAAACTAATTAAATAAAAAAATAAAAAAAAACAAAAAAAAAAAAACAATCCAGTCAGGTGATCTAGCATCTCCTGCAGACAAGATTATCCCACAAATTGTAGAAAATTGAAATTTCAAAATAATTAAACACGTATTTCACTACAACGCATCATACAGTTGCGCGTAAGTTACTGAATTTGAGTATTAAAATGCTTCCAATCGAACTTCGACCCAGGAAGAACCATAAGAAAAAGATGGGATTATCTGCTTGTAACTTACCTGTGGAGCAAAATTTAGCCGCGGGGAAGCCGAGGAAATACCCACCGACTATACTTAAGCAGCTGATGCAAAATGGGTTTAATCTTAAATGGCGGCAAATCATCTCATCTCCCTAGTCCTCGTTGTATTATAAGCCCAAAGGACGAAGAAGCTGGAGTGCTGGACCAAGTGAAATTTCCTTTCCACGTTGGGACAATTTGAAAGCCGTTGAGTACAATGCCACCGGATTCTTAGTTTACCAGTAGCAAATGCTATTTATCAGATGTGATACGGTGTTTTTTAATCTTATAATACCCTATTTAATCTAATGCTTGTTACTAATATTAATCACGGTCAAACTATACTGAACCATGCTGTTGACTAGACCATAATTATTCTGACCCTATTAATTTAAATTGTATTTGTTAATAGTAAAAAAATTATTTTAAAAGAAAATAATCTATCTACTCATACAAATGGTAAGATTTTCAGTGTAATGTTCATAGTTTGTTGATGTTGTTTCTGTGCCGCAACTTTGCTTGTATTATCCTTTGCACTATGTTAAGCGATTTCTTAATGATGTGTTAACCACTAGATTTTTTAATGGCAAATGCTTGGTACAAGAATGAAACTTTTATCATAGATAAAGTGCATTTGTATAGTGCTTTACGAATGGCGTAAGGTTGGAAGGGCATCGTAATAAGGCTATTATGAAGAAAGGTTTGGAGTCCTTGAGGGAGCAAGGAGTTACAATGTGTTATACTCATCATAGTGTTGAGTCAAATGTGGATCATATCTTTCAGGCATAGGGCGCGGTTAGATGGGTTGACAATTTGATCGTTGCTATTGATGGAGGGAGTAGTGTCAGTTGCATTAGTGAGGCATTTGTTAAAGTTAATCACGTGAGAGTTAGTGACTTAAATGAACCATACAAGCTGCGTTGGTTGCATGGTGGAATGGAAATTAGTGTTACTCAAAATGCAAGATTGGATCTTCGTTTGGAGAGGTTGTTACGTCGGAGTTGCTAGATATGTAGTACCTATGATGGCGTGTGATGTTATTTTGGGTATACCGTGGATTAGAAAATGGGAATGGTCTAAGTTGGAGTATTGAATTTGCTTTCATATCTTGATAATGAGAACAAGAGAGTTGAGTTGAGATCATTATCACATTGGGAGAGTGAAAGCATCATGCTTAGGAGACGAGAGCTTGAAAAAGAAATTTACAAAGTGAATAATATACTAATTAATAAAAAGGATGGTTCATTGGAGAAGGGTACATTTATCGAGTGGTGATGTAGGAGGAACACTCAACGCTAACCAATATTTATCGTTTGTTCATTTTGTAGGTACTAGTGAATTTCGTGATTCAAGGACGAATCCTTTTCAAGAAGGGAAAGATGATGAGAATCATGGAGCTTCACATCAAAGTTCTATTCTAATGAAGGAGCAAAAGGTGTTCTTATCATTTGGTGGAATAAGATTGTTTCCTTTCAAGTCTAGAAGAAAGTGTGCTATGAGGAGAAGACCTTCAATGAAGGAATTTTCACCTCAACCTTCTAATACAACAATGGGGAAGAAGAATCATTTAATCATCAAGATCAAGTGTCAAAAGAGTCCAATGATTTTGCTGAAAATTGGGATGATTCAAGTGATGTTGTTGAGATTGATCCTAGTAAGTTTGTTCCAAAGAATAAATATCATGAAGACATTGAAGATACAGATTGTGCAGAAGACATCATTGGAGCTTGAAGATTTTGAATGGACCCGTGCATGCCAAAAGAAGAGGAAGAGCTACGCGGGAAGTATTTAAATATTTATTTAAATTATTATTGATTCTGTAAATAGATAAAATTCTATTTTCCTAGAGTTATATAAATTAATTTACCATGAGAGTTAATTGAGCTTATTAGTTCAGCTCTAGGAAGGTATTTTATTAAGGGTATTTAAGTCTTTTGTCATTAAAAGAAGTAAAGTTAATTATTTTGCTTAATGGTTAAGTTAAGTTAGAGTTTGAGTCAAAATTGGTAACGTCTTCCCTTTCTGTGTATTGGATCGAGTAGATGAAAAGGTAAGTGACCTTTTTCATTAGCCTTAAGTTTAGGTTTTAAGTCTTAGAGAGCAAGAATGCTTGCCTATGAACAGGTGGCCGAATTCTCTTCAATGTGTGTCAAGATGGAACAATAAAAATTCTAGTGAATTTAATAAACCTTTGTAGTTTTTGTTACAATGAGCGTTTCTCGTTGTTTGGGAGGAGTTGGACAGTTAGTCAATTCTTTCTTTCTCTTGGCCTAACGGGACTTGGTCTAAGAGTAAACCGTTTTATCATGTTGAGTTTTTGCATGATTTAATTGTTTTAAAAACTAATATTCTTATTATCTTTTGTTATGATAGCTGATTGGTTTAGCATGTTTGATTGCTTTTTTTCGAGTTTTTGTGACTTTAGATCGTAGGAAACTTTGTTGGTTTATCTATTGGTATAGATGAGTTTCCTTGGAAATAGCATGATGAATTATATGTTTTGTAAGTTTGTTGTTTTGGTTATGTGTTCTATCCAATTCAGTAGTATATTCGATGGTTTGTTTGTAGTTGAGTGAGTAATTTGCTCATAGCATGTGTCGTCAATTATATGGGTGATTGTTCGATTATATTGAAGGGTTCAATCTTTTGTGATTTGATTGTTCAATCCGAAAAGTTATTTAGATTTTGTGTTTATGATCTTTGTATGAGTTCATAAGGTAGTTATAACATTTAAATTTAACCACTTTTAGCAAGAAATTCTTATTCATTTTTACTTATAAATTAATGTCAATTAAGTAGAATTAGTTTACTTTTAGGTTAATTTTACATTTCAAGGTGACCAGAGGGCCAAAGTGGAATTTGCTAAAAATCTGAGGCCAAGAGGTGAAAAAGAGCATAAATATGGACTGGAAATGAAGCTGCTGAAAATCAAGGCTGGAATTGATCAATTGAAGAGGAAGCAGAGGATGAATTCTTGCTGATGAAGGAAGAATGGTTGCAGCATCATCACAAGTTGGTGAACCTTACAAGTGGAAGCCAACAGAAAGAAGAAGAAGTTGCAGCAAGTTGAA